TGACTTGCTTGCATGGAGTTATTGATCCCCAAGGTTCAATCTTCCTAAAAATAGTCCCAAATCCTCATAATATAGGATTAGGGATGGGAGGAGCACCCTGGGTGGGCCTTTGCCAGTGTTGGGGCCCTTCCAGAAGCAACCAGCCCGGGTATTAGGAAGCAAGCTAGTCCAGTCCAGGCCAGTGAGGAAGGGGGCCTTCTAGGGCATCAGAGACAGGGGCCAGCTCTCCTCTCTTTTTCAGCTCCAGGCACGAGCCGTGTCTCTGCATGTGTGTTTCATCCTTTCAGCAAGTTCTCTCTCCAGCTTCTCCTGGGGGGAAAAAAAAACCCAGGGAAGGGCTCTGATTGGCCCAGCATGGGTGACTTTACCAAACTACCAATCATGGTGGCCAGGAGAGAGAGGTACTGCCCCACCCATTCACACACACCGGGGAGGCCAGGAGAACAGTGTGGTAAGGGGAAGAAGAAGAGGTGACAAGGGCAGGGTTACTGGAGGGAGGGGCCCCCAAGCTGTGCTGTACCCACCCCCAGTGACAGAGCACCTGCCATGTGTGGGGCCCGGGCTCTGCGTGACGTGCTCACACGCTCTGTCTTCAGTTTTCATAGCTGTTCATCACCTGTTGAGTGTGGATAGGGTGGAGGGGGGGATGCTTCCAGCATTCCATCTCCCCCGGGGCAGTAGAGGTGGTCTCTTCCGTAAAGTAAGTGCCCCGAAGGAAGTGATTGTTCAGTGGAGCCTCCTGCAAACTTTGTTCCATAGGCTACCAGATCTGAAGGTAGCTGCCCCTGGACTTCATATTTACGTGTGAATAACAAACAAAAGAATTGAGAGACAACTGGTTCGGCTCCATATATGCTCCAAAAGTAGGACCAACACTGCCCAACCCCGCTGCCCCCAAGGCCAAGCAAAGCATTGCCAAATCTGTGCCTCAATTCTTGTCATGTATCTTAATTAGCACATATTAGAGATTCTTTAAGTCACTTGGGTGCTACAAAGATAAGACTCATAGAAGTTAATAATAATAAAAGCCAGGAATTATCGATGGCAGGCCCTAGGCTGGGTGCTTGATGCTCACTGTCTTTTTGAATCCTCACAGCAACATATAAAGTAAGTAATATCATCACGGTTTTATAAATGAGGAAACAGAGTGACTGAGTAACTTGCCCAGGTCACACAGCGATGGGGGTTGGAATCGTGGACGCAGTTCACTGTGTCTTTGACTTGTAGAAGCTGTAGAAGGTTTAGAACAGCCTTTACTGAACCAAGGGACATTGGTGGCTCTTGCCTACAAGCTCTGCCTTTTCTTGCACCTGGCAAATCTTCCATTGGGCCTCATACTGGGCCAGTCAGGTTCTTGCCTGTGTGGATGTTCAGTTATTTCCTGCTGTGGCATGAGGAAGGGACCATGTGGCCATCTTTGCCAGGAGGAGACCTCCTAGAGATAGAGAGAAACAGCCCCACCACACTGTTGGGTCCGTGGATCCAGCCAGATGTGAAGGTAGTCACCCGTGGACTTCATATTTCCACGTGACCATGAATTCTTTGTTTGAATAAATAAGTTTGAGTTGGGTGCCTGTTATTTGTAACCTAGAGTCTTGAGCCCAAGTGTCCCTGGTCACTGTGCTGCTTGTTCTTTGATGTGATGTCCTTTTAAAACTCCCAATTCTGTGAGATGAGCACCACCCTGCGCATCTCCTAGGTGAGGAGAGTAAGGATTAAAGAGGTCAAGTTACTTGTCCAAAGCTGCTCAGCAGTGAAATGAGCTATGACTTGCTTGCATGGAGTTATTGATCCCCAAGGTTCAATCTTCCTAAAAATAGTCCCAAATCCTCATAATATAGGATTAGGGAGGAGAAAGGAAGAGGGAAAGAGAGAGAAGGAGACCGTGTGTTAGCATTTTTGAATCGAGGAATTTAAAATCTTTTGGTGGCAAGTTATGATGGTGTATTTCTAGGGCTTAGGAATTTTATCCTGCTATTTGTTCTTCAAATAAAAGAATCGGAGTTGCTGACTTAGTTTAAACCAACTCCAAAGATTGTAGAGTTGACTGCTGATTAAAAACTTGTCCGTCTTGGTCTGAGAAGGAAATAGCAGGTATGAGTTCTCTCTGAATGGGTTGCTTCTTGCAAATCTCATCTTCATTTGCAGCTCTTGAGATGTCGATGATTGGGAATATATGACTTGATTATTAACAAGCTAGAAATAGTAACTGAGCATTTGCTTTGGCATCTACTTCTGCTTGTGTGATAAAAACAAATTGGAAGAAGTTTAAATATGAAATTAAAGGCTGATTTTGGAATCATTAGTCTTACAGTTTTCCTGGTCACCCGATATGAGGGAGTCCACGGGCTAACTCCAGAGTACCACAGGCTCCTAGATTAATAGGCTCCCTAGCTGAGAGTAATGTGAAAGGTCGCTTTTGATTCAATGTGCTTTGCCATTTGTGGCTTCAGCCTGAATCTTTTAAGAAGTAAACAAATTCTAGCCATTTTATTTCTGCTGTTTCAGAGATGTGCAACCATTTGTAATGGTTAAACCTGTATTCCATTGCATTTCTCAAGCCCTCATTGTTTCCTTTCCTTTCAGTTCTCCTATCTAAAACTTTTTTTAAAACACATCTTTCCTGATTATTTGTGCCTTCATACATATTCTACAGCCGAAGCCCTCTGCTTGCTGAGCACCGGGGAAGGCGGTGACAGGCTGGGGTACTGTTCGGAAGGAAGGAACCAGCCTCTGCTAACTGCTAACCATGAAAAGATGTTCTGATTCCCACTGACTTAGAGATGAAGCTATTGGAATTGGGTCCAAGCCTGCATCTTGTATCAGTGGAAATGGGTATTGTGATTGCTATGTTGACATGTGTGCTCAAATGCATTGGGAGTTTTATACTGTTTTTCAAACTTCCAAATAGATAATGTCAGAACATTTCTGAAATGGGATACTAACAGCAAGATATACTGCACCCACCAACAAGCATCAAGCAGAGCGGAGTGCGGAAGGAGGGGTCCGGGAGGCTGCTAGAGAATTTCCATTTCCATTCCCGGTGTCAATAGCGTGGCCACGAACGTCCTAGATTGCTTTATGGCTTCAGGAGAAATTCTCAGTCGGCTCCCTGTGCCATACTCAGCTCAGTGTTCAAAGGCCCAGGAATTACATATGCTGTCATTTATGAAACTGTTTATGAAAGTATCTTTTTTGAATTGTTCAAAAATCCAAAAGGAGTCAAACTTTGACAGTTTAAGACAACGGCAAGAGGGCCACAGTGTCCCCCCGGGGGCAGCCTTGACCACTGAGGCTCTCTTGCTGAAAATGCAATTTCTTTTCTGAGAATTTCTTCCAGCCTATGATGCTGCATTGGAAACTTTGCCTGTTTGAAAGGATTTCTTCACTGTGAAGCAGCCGACGAAGGTCACATTATGAATATGTTTCTGGGATGATCACATTTTGATTAGATATGCAAGAATCCTCTATCCTTCCCCAGGATGTCATATTCTAACATTTTCCATTATTTTAAGAAAATCATGTAAGTTGCTACTATTCCTCAATAAGGACTTGAATTTTGTGGCTTATTTTCTTTGCTGTAATGTGCCAGCACCGTGGGCATCGTTGCAGGGAATAAATGACTCTTCCCCAATAAACCAAGTGCCTAAAGAAGCCCCTGGAGGAGGCAGGGATGTCCATAAATGTTGAAATGGATTTCATAATATGGCATCCAATTTAGTATAATAAGTAGAATTCAAAAATAATCCAATCCTCCAAACGAAAATACCTCTGCTACTAATCAAGAGAGGTTGACTTGATACCAGAACCCAGCAGAAATGGTTTAATATGTGCCAAAATAACATTTGTTAGATAATCTCTTTTCCTCCATTTAAGTCATTGGTCACCTGAAAAATTAGAGATCTCTCTCTTTCTCTCTTTCTATTCCTCTCTCTCTCTCTCTCTCTTTCTCTCTCAGCTTGAAAGATTAGCTCCTTAAAGACAACTAACGGAAAGCATTTATCAGAAGGCCAATTCTGGTTATGCAACATACGGGGAAAGGTCCGTGTGAGTGCTTTTGTAGTTCTGCCCCCGAGCTTCACGGTACCAGAGAACATTTCCAAAATGATGCCAGCAAGCTGACACCATTAATTGTTCTCTAACACTGGTACAGCTCTGAAACACAAAGCACCAGCCCTCAGCATTAGGAGGCCAGGGGAGAAACTATTCAGAAATTTGATAGATGACATCACAGCACACAGAAGAAAAAGTGGGTCCTGGGAAGGAGTTAGGAACACCTGAGAATGACAGAAGTGGGCTCTGGGTTCTTGTACCCCTGGGTTTGACAAAAAACCAGCACATAGACAAGAGAGCAGAGAACATGAAGAAAGATGAGGGGCCCTCAAACCGCACTGGTGTTCAAACTGGTAGTTTCGACAAATGCAGTGCTTCTAAATGAGGCTCCCGGAAATCAAGATGATCTAATAAATGCTGCAAAGGACATATTTACCAACATAAAACTTACAAATCTCATTTTGGAAACTGAAGGTTGGAGAGTTAATTTTAAATTAAAAAAAAAAAGTTCATCCCTAGACTTTTAATAACATAGACATAAAAATAATTGGCATGTAATCGGCTGCAGTTTAACGATCATGCTTTCATAAAGTGTTCGTGCATCCACGTTTTATTTCTTTCTTAAACAAAATGATCCTGAAGCAATAAGTAAAATGGTTTGAATATCTAATTCAAAAGATATTTTGGTAAGAAGATTACAAAATTTTTTTAAATTATCAACCAAACTTCAGATTTTCTAGGTGTGTTCCCTCCCCAAGCCTCAGCCGGGGTCAGTGGTGACACCCAGTGCTTTCAGGTTGTCCCTGAGTTCTTTGTCCAGGACTGGAGCTCATGAATTGAAGCTTCCTTTGAGCCAAACTCTGCCAACAGAGACTTGACCTTGTGTTTGTTATGGAGCCAAAAATAACCTTTAAATAATTAAATTCTGTCGTTTGTGTTGGTGGCAGGAGAGGAAAGTGGCGGGATCACACCGCAGCACGAGGTCCAGGGAGGAACCTGGAGGCCTGTTGCTCATCTGCATCCCAGCGTTCCCCGCCTGCATTGTCCACTTCACGTCCTTGCCCACGTAAGACCTCAGTCTTACTGTCTGTAATGTGGGGATAATACCTGATTCAGGGAGGGTTGCCATGGGATGTGGTGATGTGAGTCAAACACCTACCACCCAAACCGTGCTGGGCTGAAATGACTGGCTGCCTTTGGAAAGGGCTACACAGCTCACTGTAGAATCTTGTAACACTTGGGTGGTGTTTTATGGTTGTTTTCACATCCATCATCGATTTTTCTCATAATAACTTCAAAAGCCAGTGTTCACCTCTCTCCCGACTCCAGGCCTGGTCTCTGGTGGCCTGTTCTGCGTCTCACTGAAACTGCCCTTCCTCCAAGCGCCAGGTCTTTTGGAAATGGTGCCAGCAGGCTCACTGCTCTGTGCTGCCCCCACCCTTGGCACACGATGCCAGCTACCCTCTGGGGACACTGCGCTGCAGTGTAATTACTTCTCTAACCAGACTGTAAGCTCCTTGACGGCACTACCGCTCTTAGTGAAATTTGGACCTTTAGCCCAGGCACATGCCAAGTGGCAATAAAGAGTAAGAGTTAATCAATTGATGACATAAAAGAAAAGATAGATGGATAATGTTCATATTCATTAGACAAAATGGAAAACACAAACTTTGGTAGAAATCCACCTCTGTGGTTTCTTCCTAAGTAAATGTGCTACGGAGTAGGACTAGATCTGTTCTTTTCTGCAGTCCTCCCCAGGCCCTTCGTCAAAACCAGAACGGTCTCCTGCCTAAATAACTTCAGGAGGCCGTCCCTGGTCTCTGCCTCCAGCCTCCCTCTCGTAGGCCAGGCCACCCGTGTCCACGCTCGGTCTGATAGAACCTCAGAGTCATCAGGATCCAGGCCCCGCCCCACCTTGCCCTAGGCTTGCTTTGCCATGGTTACCTCCGAAGCACCCCCAGAGGACTCCAGCTCAAGCCAGAGCCCAAGGCAGGCCCGGCCATAGCCAAGAGAGTGTGTCCCTCCCCACTCCCTGCCTGGGAGAGAGCTGGGGCTTGGGACTTGTTCTCTGAAAGCACAAGGCTGTGACTTCTTCACCAAGCATCCTTGCCACCTAGGACAGTGTGAGATGCATGAGGGGCTTAATAAACAACTGTTGGTTGAACAAACTCATGAATGAACTCCTAAGACAGCTGAGAGCCAATGCTTCAAAATTCCATGGATGGAGAAGCTAGGGAGGCTTCCTGATGGAGTCAGTGCTCAAAATGCAACAGACAAGGAGCTAGGCTGGAACTCAGGGAAGGGTGGAGAAGAAGAATTTCTCTAGAAAGCGTGAGGGTGCTGGTGAAGGCAGGGGTGACAGCAGGGACTGGGAAGTCAAGGAGCGTCAGACTGGAGGCAGTGGTCAGTGGGAGCCAGCTCATATTCTTGAGCCAGAGAAGGACGTGGGATAAGTTTAAGGTCGTTGGCTGTGAGCGCTGGACATCATGTATCCCACCAGGGAGAGGACTGGCTCTCAAAATAAGGGATAGGGATGGTGACCAGATCATCCCAGTGAGCAAAGAAAACCTTCAGGGGAAAGGTCTCAAAGGATGACTAATGTTTGAAAAAGATTTTTTGTCTCACCAAATCCGTGGGGAAAATATGTAGGTAATAGCCAGTAATTATCAGCCCTCCCTAATTTGTTTTCTATTTTGTAAATCAGGAGTCCAGATGAAAACGGGAGGTCCACATTGCAAAGGGGGGATGTCCCTGAAACTGGTCCCTCCTGCCATTGCACTGCCTGTGACTCCAGGGCAGAGTAGAAGCTGCCTTGGAAGGGACAGGATTCCTTGGACAGTGTCACTGAAACATGCCTTCCACCTCTGGGTCCCACGAAAAATTAGACTTCATCTAATTCTTGAATTTATTAAGCTGAAGGCTGCAGCCCTTTCTGAATGCAGAATCAGAAACCACGGCTTTAAAAACAGAAGACTGTGGACAATCTTTCCTAACCATAAAATTATTTCCATTCTCCAACCATCAAGTTCTTAAATGGATTTTGTAGATGTGCAAAAACTCAAAGCAGCTCTGTTAAAAAGAAGGAAAGATGTCAGGCTGAAAATAAGGAAAATCAGAATGGGAGACGAGGACACAGTCTGTGAACGCCCCGGCCTTCACAGCAGCCCCGGCCCTGTGATTAACCTACGCTAACCCCAAAAATCTAAATCATTCTCACTTCCCAGGAGCTTATAAGCCAGACAGCTGTTAAGGGGAGCAACTCATAATATTACTGCAAAATTTCACAGTTGAAAGTCAAATAGCAATGATTTTGCTCTGCCAGCTGGCCTCCACCTTGCCCACGTCCACGTGCCGAAAGTTCCCGGGCAGTGAGTGCACACAGCATGGACCAGGATGCTTGTGCCCACAGCTCTTCAGGGAAAGGCATGTCACCAAGGCTAAGCACGCACTTCTTCTCGATCAAAATTCTAACTTCATGGTAACCGGAAAATTAATGCCAACAATGGCGGTAATACGAACCTTCCAGTTACCCCGTGTGGGTACCTATCAACTGGCCCACTGGGTAATAGAGGCTGAGATGGCGGCGAGCTGGAGGCCCAGGAGAGCCCATGGTGTAGCTCCAGCCTGAGTCTGAGTCGGAGGGCAGGAGACCAGTGTCCCAGCTCGAGGACACACCCGGGCAGAGCGAGCTCCCCATCACTGGACCTTCTGTTTCATTTTGACGCTCAAAGGGTTCGGCGAGCCCCGCCCACCTTGAGGAGGGCAGTTCGCCTTATTCCGTCTACTGCTCCGGATGCTGATCTCACCTGGAAACACCCTCACAGACAGACCCAGACTAAGGCTCACCCAAATATCTGGGCACCCTTGTGGCCCAGCCAAGAGGACATATTCCATGAACCACCAGATGCTGGTTCTTAAACGCCACCCTCACTGACTCCTCCACCGGCTGTAACTCAGACCACACAACCCGAGAGCCTGGTGGAACCTCAGTTCTGTGGCCATTTCTTAAAGGGGACTCCCTGGTCTTTGGGCTGCAGATCTAGAGTCACCGGCACTCCTGAGGAGGACAGGAGGTCATTGCCTTGCATCTGAGCCATCTTCAAGCAGGAGCTGCTGTTCAGATATGAAATGTGTGCGGAACTAGCCTGTTAGAAGTGCCCTCTGTGCTTCCCCTGGCTTCTGAGCACAGCCCGCACCCACTGCCCAGCCCTCCTGCACCCTCCCCGGGCCTTCCTCCCTCCACCTCTCTTTCTTCTGCAGGTGAGCTCCCCCTCCAGAGGGAGGAGGCAGGCCAAGCCACGCTTCCTTCCCAACCTGGCTCCCTCCATCCTTCATCATTCTTTTTGAAAAAATCCTCTGTCATTTGGCTGCCAGGGAGGCGGCGACAATTCTGAAACCTTACGGTGGCACCAGAGAATAAAGCTGGGAATTATTTGGGCACAGTGTTGAGACAGCAAGTGACAGGGTGGAGGAAGAAAGCCAGGCTAGCTGCGCAGAGCCCCTGCTGAGGAAGACGGAGCCCAGGAGCCCAGATGGGGCGCAGCCCAAGGGAAGGTCGGAGTCCACACGACAGCTCAGGGTGGCAGGAAGGAGACACAGCCGCATGGCGAGACGGGTGAGCACCCCCTGCACAGCCACCAGCCCCTGCCCTGGGCACACAGTCCTGCCTCTGGAGCCGCAGATGGTGGCAACCTGCTTGGCCTGGGCCACAGTGGCACCAGGGCTCTGCCTCAGTCCCTGCTACTGTCCCTCATTTTGTCCCCAACTTTGCCTTAAATCTCTCTCTTTCTTTTTTAGTTTTAAAAATTTTGATAAAATATACATAAAATTTACCATCATAACCATCTGTAAGTGCACACCTCAGTGCTATCACATACATTCACCCTGTTGTACAACCGTCTCCACTTTCTATCCAGAATTCTTTTCATCTTGCAAACCTGAAACTCTGTCCCCACTAAACACTAACTCCCCACTCCCCTCTCCGCAGCCCCTGCCACCCCTGACTCCACTTTCTGTCTCTATGAACCTGACTGTCCTATGTAGGTCATCTTACTGTATTTGTCCTTCTGTGACCTACTTATTTCACGGAGCGTAATGTCTTCAAGGTGCGTCCCCATTGCAGCCTGTGTCAGAGCCTCTTTCCTGTTGGAGGCCGGATAACGTCCCACTGTCCGGGTCGGCCACACTGTCTGTTCGCTCATCTGCCGATTGACAGTTGCTTTGTTTCCACCTTTCGGCTGCTGTCAATGATGCCGCTTCAAACTTGGGTACAGAAATCTGTCTTTGAGTCCCCGCTTTCAATTCTTTGGATATATACCCAGCAGTGAGATTGCCAGATCATGTGATAATTCTCTTTCTAATTTTCTGAGCACCACTTTTGCCGATTTCCACTGCAGCTGCACCATTTTACACTCCCCCCAACAGGGTGCAAGGGTTCCGATTTCTCCACATTGTCACCACCACTTGTTAATCCTGTTTCAGTTTTTGTCTGAACGATAGCCATCCACATGCGTGTCGTACCCCACTCTGCCCGCCATGTCCTCCCTGGAGGCCCCTCTAGTCACAGGGCCTTACAGAACCATCATAAGCTAATGGCGTGCTGGTCCACCTCTCCAGCCCTCCTTTCTCACCACCTCTCACAAACCCAGACTCATTCAGGTAGCGGCCTAGCGCCTTCCCTCTGGAGAACTGAAAGACATCTCAAACCCAACACTTTCGAACCCAAATTCCTGATCTGCACACCCTCTTCCTCCCAACCCGAATGGCAGCACTGTGGCTTCCCGTCTCAGATGATGGCACAACCATCCTTCGGGTGGTCTGCTCACAGACCTGGGCCACAGAGACACTTCAGAGGACCCCTTACTTAGAGGGCCCCTCATGCTGAGTGTGCATGAGCATGAATACACACACGCGCATACACACACACTCTCTCTTTGTCAAGAGCACGTGTGGTCCAGGGCTTGGCACCAACGGGGCAGCATCACCAAACATTCGTCCTCAGTGGCTCAAGAGTGACACCTTTCAGGCCTCCGGCCCCCCACGCTGTTTGTCCCGGTCATCTCGGAGTGCTTGGAGATTTGTGCTGGAGCCGCAGCCATGCTGGAGACAGACGCTGCTTCTGAGTGTGAGGAAACTTCAGCAGGAACAAAGACACATGCATTAGCTTGTTACATTCTCCTTTTAGGCAGGGATGCAACAGATTCTTGCATGATGAAGGGTCACGCCCAAACACTGCTCAGGGGCTGTTTTCTCACTTGTGGTCATGACCTGATTCGTGGTTCCGGGTGAGCGTGGCATCGTAACAGTGGTACTGAGTGGTAACGTGGTTGCCGAGGAGCTATGGTTTGCAATATCAGACAATTCTTCATCTCACATCTGCACATCTGTACGTCTTGATATAACCTTTGTGAGGTGAGATTCTGTCTCTTTACAGTGGCAGCTGGATGAACAATACCCAGTAGAGTTACATACAGTTTATTTTTGCCAAAATGTTTCATGTGTCTTAAACTTTCAAAAATTTAAACAGAAATTTCAGCTTTAATTCAATTCAATTCAATAACCAAAATGCATTTTGCTTTTTAGTTTTATTACCTAATTTTGGCTTTTAAAAGAAAAATAATTTGTGAAATCATGAAAACTAATCTAAATGTATTTACTACTTATACTTGATTTACGTTTTTGACAAAAATACATTCAGATTTCATCCACTTGACTTTTTGGTTCTTTGTATTATTAACAATATTAGAAGAGAACTTATGGGACACCTTGATCACACAGCACAGTGAACAATTACACTGAAATTATGCAAAGAAAGTGAATTTTATGGAAAAAGTACATACTAATTTATGGATTATAGATGTGTTTATTTCCTTCCTAATTCAAACATTGCTGGCCCATGAGTAGAAGCCCTAGATATGTGCAGTGAGGCTTGTGCTCAGTCACTGACATTTTGCCAACTTTCAGCCATATGCAAACTATAGCTTTTCGCACATTTTTCTCTTTCATCATCTTGAAGGCAGGAGGATAGAAAATACTTAACAGTTTGCTAGCGTGATTCACGCTTCCTAGTGTTTAGACCACAGGGCTTGGGCCCTGTGAGTGGGCTCGGGCCCCATGCAAGGACTCAGAGCAGCACCGTTGGTGCAGGCCGGGAGCCATCAGGGAGGTGGCTGGACGCGCCCCTGCATGCTCCTCACCTGCTGGCTGAGCTTCAGCCACATGCAGAGCCAGCCCAGGTGTCCCGACATCTCTGTCACTGTCCATCACCCAGCCACTGGGCACCAGCCTCTTGGCCTCCACTCCGCTGGGCCCATCTGGGGCCCAGCAGCCGGTGGGGACTGTTGGTGCAGCCAGCTGACATGGCTGCTGTGCTCAGAGCCCTCTCCGTGCACCCTACGCCCTCACTTCTCTTCTCCGTGCCCTTCCTCCACCCTCCAACCAACCCGACCACATCCCCTGCTTCCTCCTCCTGCCTCCCCTACACTGCCTCAGGACTCCAGCCCTGGCTGTTCCCTCTGCCTGAATGCTGTTCCCTCCAACACCTCCTCTTTCAAGTCTCAGCTCAAATACCCCTTCTTATGGAGGCCCTGCCTAGGTTCCTAATTTCCACTGCACACTCGCCCTCTGCGTCCCTCCTGAGTCACCCAGCCCTGAATACCGCTCTCCTTCTCCCCAGAGCCTGGTCCGCCTTCTGAAGTGCTCCATACAGTGATGGCACCCCCAGTCATGGTTTCACTGCCCGGGGTTTCAGTTCTGCACCATCAGCTGTGGTCTGGAAGCAGATGATCGTCCTTCTGATGCAGACAGAAAGCAGCTTGCAGCCTGACGCTGTGTCGCCTGCCGGTGTCCCCACCTCACTGCCTCTCATGGTGTACACGCTTCACCATCTCACGGCCTCACGGGGAGAGGGGTGAGGGAGAACAGGAAGGCGTTTTTAGAGAGAGAGGGAGCCCACACCCACACCGCTTTATTGCAGTGTATTATTATTGGCGTATTTTACTATTAACTATTGCTGTTAACCTCTTACTGTTCTTAATTCATACTTTTGACTTTATCATAGGTATGTATGTATAGGAGAAACAGTATATACAGAGTTTGGTACTATCTGTGGCTTCAGGCATCCACTGGGGTCTCGGAACGTGTCCCCCATGGATAAGGGGGTGCTGCTGTAATTGAGTCATGACCTGTATTTCGTGACCATTCCCACTTAAAGATTAGCTTGGAGATAAAACTTATCCTGTTTATTCATTGCGGTATCCGAGCATATGTTGATTTTTAATAAGTATTGAAGGTGTGAAAATGAGCCAAAAAAAAAGTGCTCTTCTGCGGGGAGCTGAGCTCCGTCCAAGTTGAAGGGCCAAGGGGAAATCTGGTTCTAATAGAACCGCAGGAGCAGCAGAGCCCTGTCTTCAGACAGACCTTGAAGTCCAGTGTCTGAACAGACAGAGGCCTCCCCAGGCTGGTTACTGGGGCAGGTGGGATGAGGTCGCCTGGGCTCTGGGGGGGGCTGTTTGCCCAGCCCTGGGCTGGTCCAGACCCTTTGGAACAGAGACTGGAAGACCCAGAGAACATGGAAGTCTTGACTGAGTTTGTCAGGTTGCCAGGAAAGATCTCAGGTAGGCACCTGTCTGACTGTGAGGATGTTGCCATTTCTGCCTGCTTTCCTGGAGGGTTTACACGCTAGACCCCAGAATGGAGACTTAGTCAGGCAAGTGGCTGGGATGCCCTGGTCTTGAGCAATCGAACAGCCTGAGGAAGAAGCCACTTTAAGAACTTGCTCTGCAGATCATTAGGTAGGTGTATGAAGAGACTAGAAGGTGGAGAAGGCTGGCCCCAGGACTGTCCCACCTGGGTCAGCCACCTGCTCAGCTCCTGCTGTGGCCGCCCAGCATTGCCAGATGTAGCAAATAAAAATCCCACACACACACTTAAATTTGCATTTCAGATGAATAACAAGATTTTTGTTATAAATATGTCCCCAATATTGTCTGTGTAGTTTGAGATGCAAACCCACCTGGACTTCCTGTATATCTGGCAATCCCACTCTGGACTACTGCAAGGGGGCAAGGGCCTGTCACCACCACTCATCTCCAAGACCACCTCCTCCTCTGGGCTTGGGCTCCAGGCCCTCTTCCTTCAACTCTAGGTAAGTGAAGCCCCTTCAGATCTACTTGGGATGAGGCTCTGCCCCCCCCACTGCTGGGCTTTTCCTGTCAAAGGCAACGTGGGGCTCAAATTCAGGCAACAGATGAAACATGGAGGGGTGTTTAACTTCTCCCTGGGCAAGGAAGCCCCTACCCCTGAGAGTCGGCTGTTCTTCTGGGAGAGAGAAGGGAAACTGTACTCTCTCTGTCTTTCTTATACTTGTTTTTTGTTTTGTTTTCGCTGAGTAGCTGAATCACAGTGCAAAAGGCAAGATACTGGTTGTTTTGCAACTACTGCCCATATTCCACTAAGTTTAGAGAATTGGAATACAGTGGACACACCGTCACATGAACTCTATGCTGAACATAATTCCACCCTTGATGAGTGAATGTGCTCTGTGATCCCAGCAGACCTGCTGTTAATCGGGGCACAGGGTGAGTGGGAGGGTGCGGCTGCAGCTTCGCTCCTCAGAACCGAACGCGGAGAGCCTGCTGTGGCAGGACCCCCACCGACCTGCCTTGCATCTAGAGTCCATCCAGAGAAAAGACTGATGTCTGTGTCTTCAGCAGGAAGAAAAAATGCATTTCGCTAATGAGAACAAAACCTCATGTGGCACAACAGAAGGGCGCTGTGTCTCATTCCCAGGAGGTCCGCGGCCTGGCGGGTGGGGCAGAGGGGCCACTGACCACGCTCTTCTCCAGGTGTGGTCCTCTCAGCCAAATGAGCGAACCACATCTCTAATTAGAATTATATGCAGAATGAGAAGATTCTTCAAGGACCGTCTCTGGGTCCTCATCATCTTAAGTATCTGTTGCCATGGAAGCCAGCGAGCAGCTCCAAAAATCTAGAGTGGTGGGCGGTACTTGCCCACTAGCCCTCTCGCCCTTTAAATAAAGTTGCCTTTTTTTCTTCGGGTTCTGAATAAACATAAACCTGGGTTTTTCGTGCAAAATCCTGATTTCAAGGTTATTGATGCCGTACTAAATTAATACAGTCTGTGCGACAGTGCACGCCACCCAGCAAAGCCAGGGAGACTCCTGTCTTCTGAAAGCTTGACATTTGTTTTTCATCATGAACTTAAAGGTCAAGAGCTACAGATGGATCAGGGTACCTGCCTGAGTTTACATTTACATGTATTTTATTTTATTCCCACACGCGCTTTTTATGAGATCCATCACTGGAATAAAACTGTAGCGCTCCTGTCTTCTCTAGCCTGGCTAAACTAGGAGAGTTGTCAAGCTGCTATCTCTACATAATTTGAATTAAAATAAGAAATATATGCTGATTTGATATTTCAAAAGCAAAAGCTTTAAGTTTAACATCGCCTAAGCTGGCCAGGATGCAGCGTGCACAGATTTCTTGATATCGCTTACTTAACTAGTATAATTTGGGGGGTGGACTGGAGATAGTATCTGCTCTTATTATGCACTTTTTATTTAAAACCCACGGACACCTCACCCTTCAGATAATCCAAAAGTGATTGGCCCGTAATCGATTCAGAATTGATGACAACATGCACTAACTCTTTTTCTTCACAAATGAATATTTTTTTGTTTGCCTGTGAGTTTCTGCTTAAGGCAAACATGCTGCTTGTGCCACTGTACCCCTGTTTTGTGATACCAAATACCATGTTATATTTTTACCAAAATACCTGTGGAGCTGACAGAGCATGATGCATTCATTTCCCTTGATTTTGTAGTGAAGGAAAAGGCTAGCATGAATAATTCAAAAATAATGCTGAGACTGTTAGGATTTAGTAGTGGAGAGGTCATCACAGTTGGGAGAAACGAGCTTGGAGACCATTACTGTCCCACGATCTTTGAATCTCAAGGTGACATCATCATTATTTCTCTATATCTATAATGTGGTGCCGCAACCAGCTTATTGCTGTGTTTCTCATGTAGGGGAGAAAGATCAATTACATACAGACCTCAAAACGGGAGCCGTAAGCAGAGTGGCCTATAAAACTGTCATTAACAGTCCCCACAATTTTAGCGGCATGCTTCCAGGTCAAGTGGCTTTAAAAATGATAACTGACACTGAAAGGTTGAATAAAGAGCATTCGTCCTAAAGGGAGCCATTTCTTAGCCAAATAACTGAAACTCTTTCATAACACTTGCTAATTTCGGTCTGAACTGCAAAAGTACCTTAAGTAAGAAGCTTAGCACGGATGATCCTTAGCAGAATGAACACACATCCTGGTGTCCCCCTTTGAAAAATAGGTTTGCTATCTGTCAACATCAACCGCAAGCACTCTTGAGTAAGCATAAAGCAGTCCCATGTAATCATATTTAATTTATTCCTATTTTCAACCAGAAGCAGAAAGATATCACCAAAAAATAAAATGCATGCTACCGTAGTGTTTACAGCATTTCTCCCACCATTTGTTACCACTACATAATCAGTGATAAATCTTGCTTTCTCTGGAATGGGATTAAAAAACACCTCCACATTCAAAAATATTAAAATGGAATAGAGCTATTACTACAGCAAAATGTCTTTTTTCTACCCCCAAAGGGTCCCTCCATGTTTAAAACATTTTTTTTAACTTCACAGAATTGTACAAGCCTTCCCACCTGCTTACTTTTTAATTAAAATGTTCCTGCTAGTGTCAGACCTCTGAAACATCGCGTTTGGTTTAAAGGTTTAACAGTTTGTAGCATTTGTGATTTTTGTTAAGAAGGGATACAAAAGTGCTATAGATTTCTTTTCTTAGGTAGAACAGAAACAGTTTGAGTCACTGCCGGTCACCGCTGAGTGGCCGGGTTGCCGCGCGCCTTCGCGTCTGCGGTGCCCGCTCAGCTCGGCCCCTCTGGCCCGGAGGGGGGGCGGGGCGCTCTGTAACAAAAGACGCACGGACTCCTGCACCTGAAGCCATGCTGAGGTTTTTAAAGGTGATTTTGATAATGATTAGCTATTTCTGCATTTGTTACTCCTACTAATTATCTTTTGTCATTATTAATATTATTATTTTATTATTAGGGATAATAATATCCATAATAATTATCTGTTTGAGTTCCCTGAATTTCATTTAAAATTCCCTAAGTTGGTATTTCTTGTGACAAGATGTGCTATAAATGACATCTGTCTGTGGCGGTCACGGTCCGTGGACTTTCTGACGGGCGTCCCTGCGGCTCCTCCTTCCCCACCTCCTCCCGGGCCTGTGGTCTCTCTTCTCCACCGCTTTCCCTCCTTCACCCCTTCCCTTCTTCGCGGCGGCCGCCCCGGGGCCTTGGGAGGGCGCCCAGGGGAGCAACGCGTGCGCCCGGGGCCCTCGCCGGGGCCCCCGAGCTCCGGACGCACCGCCCTGGGCCGGCTGCTCGCTGACCCCTCGGCGAGGGGCGCCCTGGACCTCACTACCGGGCTGCTCTCAGTCGGTTCCTGTGCCCGTGTCCAGGGCACCCCGACTCCTGCAGTGTGAAACACACGTCCAGCTGCCAGGGTCCCCAGGGGAGCAGTGGTCAACGCCGCCAGCCTCCCCCACTGGGCGCGAGGCCAGCCGTGACCCCAGGCAGCACGGGGGTGAGAAAGAGCCAGGTCCCCTGTGCTCAGGTGGGCAGAATGCCCCGTCAGTCGGTAATGCTCAGCTGAGAGAGACACAGAATGCATTATTTTCAAAACGTTGAAGGAAAATTAATGGCATGGTGCACACGGAGTCGAGAACAAGACATAAAACACAACAACAGGAACACAGTCACGGCATAGGATGTGTGTGGAGTTTTTATCTACAGAGACTTTAACCCCATGTGTTCTGACACCCACCTTCTCAGCAGTGCCTCCACCTGTGGGCAGGAGTCCCCCACCCCAGGCAGACAGGAGCATTGCCTGGAGCTCACTGCTTCGCTCCCAGCAAAGGGCTTGCCTGGCGTCTGTCCAGTGCCCAGTGCTGTCAGTGGCCCCTGTATCAGCTTCCTGCGGCTGCCTTACGCAACAAAGTACTACCAACTGAGTCGCTTAAAACATCAGAAATGTGTTCTTTCATACTTCCAGAGGAGAGAAGTTCCAAATCAAGGTGTTGGTTCCTTCTGGAGGCCCAGAGGGAGCCCTGTCCTGGCCTCTCTCCCAGCTTCTGGTGGCTTCTGGCAGTCCTAGGAGGTGCATCCCTCCCGTCTCTCCCTTTGTTGTCCCTCTGTGTGTCCGTGTGTCTCTCTATCCCAAATCCCCCTCTTCTTACAAGGCCATCAGTTATTTCTTTAGGGCCCACCCTAATTCTCTGTGACCTCACCTTAACTTGATCACATCTGTGATGACCCTATTCCAAATGAGGTCACAGTCTCAGCTTCGGGGTTGGGTCTTCAGTATATCTTTCTGGGGACACAGTTTTGCCCACCGGAGTCACTACTTGTCAAATGAACGCTTTACTTCTAGGATACTGGGACCCGAGGGTGGTGGAGGAAGCTCGTGGAGTGGTTCTGAACGTCCACAGCTGTCCTGCCACCCCACGTCCAACATCCTAGGGAGGATCTCTCCAGGGCAGGCTGGGGGCCTTCTCCCTGGGAGGCCAGCGAGTCTGGGTTCTGCTCCTCAGCCTGGAGAAGGGGGCACAGAAGCTGCTAAGGCAGGTGGATGCTGCGGCTTGGAGCTCGGCGGGAGGGGCCGGCTGCTGCCCCCATGCTGGGCCCGGGTCCCACCCTGGGGCTGCCTTTGAAGTCGGTGAAGAACTCTCACACCGCAGGGACAGAGCAGGGCAGGGAGACCCAGGTGGACTCTGCTCTCCCCACCGACACCTGTTCAAAGAGAATCGTTGGGGCAACACCTAACAAATAATGAATGAATGGTAGAGTCGGGCCAGCCCTACGGGAGACCTGTCCACAAAGCTGTCCTTCCTGTTCTCTGCACCGCCTGCCTGAACCCTGCTGGGCTGGAGGCTGTGCCTGAGTGGAGGCAGCCCCTTGCCTTTTGTTTTGTTTTTAACATTTAATATGTATCATGCTGTCCCGAAGATGCTCCGGTCTGATATGGGGGGAACACAAATGGGCAGAATCTGCAGCCAGTGTTTGATTCACTCACCGGTGCCTGGGAGGTGGTGGAACTGGATCGTGTGCCCAGGTGGGTTGTGGTGGCAGGGAGGGCTTCAACGTGCTGAGGGCCTTCTCCCTCCAAGCTTTCAGTGCTGGATCCCCTCTGGTCCATAATCACAGCTAATGGGCTGGCCACAGAGGCGTCAGGGGCATAAAATGGTCTAACACTACATTGACTATAAATAGCAAAGCCATAAGTGACATTACTTTGCAGATAAGAAACAATCACATCATTAAGCAAAGGTGTTTAGTGTATCCGTCACCCTAACTTTGATTTATTGCAGGGCATTTGTCTGTCACCAGCACACTGGAAGCTATAATGCAACTCAAGGGTTTAAAGAGAAAATTAAGATGAATATTGCTGCTAGCACTTAGATTTGCACAGATGCAAAATGTCGGGGGCTTCTCTGCTGCCTGCTGGGCTGACCTCAGAGCTGCAGCAGAGAAGTTTGTCCCTGGGGCTAGAGGCTGGGCCTCCCAGGGCAGAGGCAGTGACAACTAGGAGGCAAAGAGGGCCTTGCCTCCCCAAAGGGAAGAATGCCTTCCAAATTACCAGGACTTCCCCTTTCATTTGAGAGTGTACCCCAGAAATACGGAACGGCAACAATGATTAGAGTTATTCTGATGAACGTTATGTTTTAAAATGTTGTCCTGCTAAATACAGCTGCTCCCATATTCAACTCAATTTTAATCCAGGAAATAGTTTTGGAAAACCTGCTGGGAGCCAGGCACTGAGCCAGGCCTGGGGAAGTATAGTGAGGGATATCACAGCTTCCGTCCTCCGGGGGCTCATGATCAATGGGACACCTCACAGTGCGTGGCATGGGGTAGCTGCCATCGGGACGCATGAGTGCAGTTAGGTGAGGATGGTGTAATTCCAGACAT